CCCTACGCTGAGCAGCGCCTTGCTAAATGAACCCTCAGGGACCGGCCAATCGATTCCCCGATCACAGGCCTTCCCAGCCAGGGGCATACAGCGCGCACCGAAGCGACTCGAATATTTAATCTGTCACCCTAGCCCACCTGAAGGAAGGCAGACATTGCAACCCATTGAGATACAGTGGCGACCATTTACTGACTTTAAGACCAAATAAATAGCCTCACTGAAATATGGAGTCCATGGGCTTAAGGGTCTTTCATTAAGTATTTGCCCCTTTTCTCACATTCGGATACGCCGCCTCCGACTGCAAGTGCCAGATATGATAAATTTCACCGTTGCCTATGGTCAACACCGTTGATATATTTTGTGTTGCTGCATTCTGCAGTGAGTCCAAAACACACTCGCACAACACACACACACACACACACACACACACACACACACACACACACACACACACACACACACACACACACACACACACACACACACACACACACACACACACACACACACACACACACACACACACACACACACACGCACACACACACACACACACACGCACACACACACACACACACACACACACACACACACACACACACACACACACGCACACATACACCCACACACACACGCACGCACGCACTCTGTCCTGGCCTTCAACGCCGCATTGCCAATCGGGTGGCATACGAGGATGTGGTTTTCTGTTGCAGATGAACTTGAAACAATTGATACTGTCACCCGAAACTGAATCTATCAGAAACCGTCATGATCTCACCAGTAGCGCAGGCAAGGGGGCACAGAGGATACGTGCACCTTCCCTAGGTTTCGAAGGGCCTAGGGGTCCCTCGGAACCTACGTTTAAGGGTCCGAAAAGTCAGCCAGAGGTCTCATTCAAGGCCTCCGTCCCGCAGGGCCAACACTTAAATGCCAGCCAGAGGGCTCTGCGCGCTGATCAGGGGCCCACTGTGTCAATAAGGACCTATATTTCGGTTAGACACCGACAGTAGCGTACAGTCGGTTCCTTGGTGACATGGGCCTAAGGCCCAATTCCAAAAAAGGGACAAAGCCGGAGGCAGCGATTTTTATTGCTCGGGGCCCCACAGCACCTAGTGGGGGCCCTGTGTTGTCAAGTGGCCCCGAGTCGGCCAGAGGCAGCGTTCGGAGAGGCTCGAAGAGGCTAGACGGCCCAACCGGTCCGGCGACCAAGGGCCAGCTGGGGAGTTTAAGGACATCAAGGGCTGGTCGGAGTCTTATTCAGGGCCTAGGCCTGCGAAGACAGACCCTCAAATAACGGTCAGAGGTCGCTTTGCGCCGATCGGGAGCCCTGAACCGATGTGGGCCTATATTTCAGTCAGGTACCATCGTACCACATAGTCTGCTTTTTGTCGGTATCGGCCTGAGGGCCACATCGCGATCATCTATAAAGCCGGGGCCAATGATTTACACTGGTCTGGGCCTTGTATCTGCCAGGGGTCCACAGCGCCTGAAAGAGGGCCCTGTGCTCGCAACGGCCCCGAGCCGACCAAGGGAAGTATTTGATGAGGCCTTTGGGGTCGTGACCTGAAATATCAGTCAGAGGTCCTCTTGCGCCGTTTTAGGAACCCCTGAGACAATGTGGAGTCAAGAGTCGGTCAGAGACCACGAACACCGAGCAGTCGGCTCCATGTCGGTCTGAGCCCTTGAAACCCATTTCCCACGCAGAAATGAGGCCGGGGCTCGCGATTTGCAATGTTCGGGTCCCTGACACAATGATGGGCTCCTGTGTCGGTAAGGGGCGATAGTGCCAAACGAGGGTCCTGTGGCCGGTGACCCCAAGTCGGAGCGGTGTTCGAGGGGGCCCGATGACGAGCCGAAGAGTGTCTCGAGACCAATGACCGGGGCCCGACGGGATGGTTGAAGGGTCCGAAGGACTGGCGGTAGATCACATTAATGACCCCTACCCACAGGGCTGTGATCGCAAATGTCAGTATATGTATATCTGCATGCATATATATATATATATATATATATATATATATATGTGGTGTGTGTGTGTGTGTTCTCAATAACAAATAGGTCATGTCCGGCGATCTTTTTTTTGGGGGGAGGGGGCGGGCAGGGACAGGACAGGAGTTAATGATACAAGGCAGGACAGCAGATGATAGCATAGGACAGAAGACAACAGGACAACAGGGCCGAGGAAAGGGCTGAGGGCTGAGAAGGCTGAGGGCTGAGCGAGCTATGAAGGAGTTTGTCGTGTAAGACAAGTTCTAGGTACACACGTTAGGTTCTAGAGATGGCAGAAGCAGGTCAAGACGGCGACAACAGGGCGGAGGACAGCACACCACAGTACAGCAGAGCACAGAATGTGGCAGAGCCAAGCGAAATCTGTCAAAATAAAACATACTTAAGGTGAAAGACCATTTCAAAATATGATTCCTTTACTCCTAACGCAATTACATTTATGAAACTCTTCTCTTGCATGTCTTCGCTTGGCTTAACGATGTTTGCGTACCATGCAGTTCGAGTTGCTGGTCATTTTAAGGTAAACATACTGCATACGCACCTAACCAACGTTCGCAAACTGTCCGCATGGTGTGAAATCACGAAAGTTTGAAATCGCACCTTTTCAGATTTACATCATACGTACGACGCCATGTCTCGCGGGAACACGAAGCATAAACAGACGTGTTCCTTGCTCAATTATGAGAACATTGGTGTATAGTGTTACATCCTTTGACCATATGCGAATGATGTATGGCTCGTTAATGTTGCCATATCGTCCCGCCGCGCGTGTTCCGCGGTATCACCGGTTACCGTCTCCCTCCCCCCCCCCCCCTGCCCCCGTCCCCCAGCCGGCCAGGCGTACAGTATTCTTTTAAAAAAAAACACTCCTGTTCCTCTAGGAACGCGTTTCTTGTGTCAAGACAGGCACAATAGATGTCCCATAGGCTACCGAAAATCGGGCGCAATGGCGCGACACTCCGGAGAGGGAACTTCAAGAAAACTTGGGGGTCGCATCGACCTCCCCTATCAGGGCGAGGGCCAGGACACCAGGGTGAACCCAGATCTGAGCTTGCCCCTGTCCCACTCCGCACTTTCAGAGACATCATTATGCCCGCGTTTATGTTGCTAACATGATTCAAGATGCAAGCTCCAATTCGCTTCACACCAGGAATAAGCCACAGCCTAGTCACAAATCAGTAACTGTGGGAAGCAAACCAGAAAACCACACTTCATTAGGCTTTAAGAGTGACCAAATACAATTTTCTCTCAGTACCCAGCATCGTTTGGCTAATTCATGCGAACTTTAAAGACGACACCACGCGGGCCGAGCGTACGCAGCGGTATTTGTTGATGTGTTGTCGTGATGCGTAACCTTGGTATTTCACGCACAGGTAAGACAACTTTTCTAATCAGGTAGCTTTACAGCACATTTTCACTAAGAGTGGAATGTCCATCTGTGCTGGAATATGTACGAGCACAGGGGAAGTCGCGTGTCTGACACAGGGACTGCCGTTTAGCGCTGGAATGGGCGCACCTTCGGCCCTGGAGCTGCCATGTGTCCGGCATGGAAGATACAGCATGTCCGGCATCGGAGAAACAGCATGTCCGGCACAGGAGAGGCTGCATGTCCGGCACAGGGGAGGCGGCATGTTTGGCGCAGGAGAGACAGCATGTCCGGCACAGGAGAGGCGGCATGTTTGGCGCAGGAGAGGCGGCATGTCCGGCACTGGAGAGGCGGCATGCTCGGCGCAGGAGAGGCTGCATGTCCAGCGCAGGAGAGGCGGCATGTTCGGCGCAGGAGAGGCGGCATGTTCGGCGCAGGAGAGGCTTCATGTCCAGCGCAGGAGAGGCGGCATGTTCGGCGCAGGGGAGGCTGCATGTCCAGCGCAGGAGAGGCGGCATGCTCGGCGCAGGAGAGGCGGCATGTCCGGCGCAGGAGAGGCGGCATAAAGAGTCGATGAGACTGGTGAATCGCCGGTGTTAATATCATGTTTAGGTTGTGGGAAGAGAACGCGTATGGCTTACTTTCGGGAGTGAAAACCTGCAAACATTAAATTGTTTGCCTCCCAATGTCTAACGTTGCCCCCATTTAAGGAAGTGATTTTGATACTGCGCGATCAAGTTAGCCCGCTGCACCCGACACGGCGATGTCACAACGAGAAAAATCACAAATGATAGTATATGTGTGATGGTAAGCTGCTTCTTACAATTTCGTAATTTTCAAGCGCCAAGAAACGAAAGAAAATATCGAGGTCCCAAACGGATAAAGGGTTGGGGGCGGGGGGGGGGGGACAGAGCCCTCACAAAATAATGCAGATCTACTCCCAAGCTCCCTCTGATGACTGAGCGGTAAACTGGCAACCGAATTTCGACTAGAGTCCACACCACCGTGACATTTTTGCGCTGCAGTTGCGGCCTCTAATGCCTGCCACGCGTCTGTCTCTATGCAACCGCCGACTCGGCTGCCATTCCCATACAAAGTCGGTATTCCTGTAGCGCTGGTTTCAATCTGTCATATGCAGAGTCAGGTTTGTTTCAATATGCCTGCTACCGAACACGTGCTGACATGTTAAAGTAGGCGTTCGTAAACAAAATGTTTTCCAGGCCCATGTCAGTAGCATTAATTGGGTGGCACTGTACCAGATGACGTCTCTCATTGCCATACGAGTGCAAATCGGCTATGGCATCCCTCTGTTGGATAATATTCGAATCGACAGATCAAGATTGACTCGAATGATCGCCGGATGTTATAACCTTTGGATGTTTTGTTTTTTATGTTGCCAGCTTCGATGTTGTGACGGTCTCATGGTCCAGGACATTTCACGATTTTCGCACTACTCGTGAAATCTAAAAAACTAATCGTTGTAAACGATGGCTGCTGCAAATTTGTGATTTAACATTGATTGCTCTGACAGCCGGATATCTCGAAACACATTTATGAGAACAAGAAAAGGTTAAAAGAGTTGGTTGTTTCAAAGCGTTTCGTCGTCCCTTTGTGTCTCAAAAAAATATCGTAATCATATGATGTATTACAAAGCTGCATTTGAATATCAGTACAGATTGACCACGCATTATGCTACCCGACGACCAGAATCAGCACAAACCGGGACTGATCAGTTGATCTTTAACACAACAAGGACGAGAGACCGTAGTAGATATGGACATCTCATGCTTGTTAATCGCAGTACATTACGCAAGATCACGCATAGCTTGACCGGTACATTCATGCTACACATGTTTCAACATGCTAACGGTACACTTTCAACGTAATTCACGCTATTCATTGAGCACTTTCATGGCACAGTGACATTTTCTACAAGGCTTGCCAGTAGTCTTTACAAGTATAGTAAGTTTGAAAGGATGGGTGACCTAGAGAGCGCTCTGCGAGCGACCAAAACCAGGGCCCTATCTGCTTACTGCCCACCTACAATTTGAGTGCCCTCGCGAAGGTCATCTAGCGTGTTCCCGTGAGCTTGAACGAAGGCAGAATGTGAAACGGTGACTCGATTTCGAGTTCGTACTTCATGCCGGCGTCGTCGCGCAGAATGTTGGTGCGGAACGTAAACGCGTTGCCCAAGTAGTTGGTGGTTACGCCGGCCTTGAAGAATGTGCTGTCGTTCCGTGCCCAGTTCGTCAGCTCAAACGAGACTTCCACGCGCTTGGTCTGGGGAGCCTCGAACGCCACGCGCAGAATGTTACTTTCGTCGGTGTTGCTGTACGCCACGTCTACCGTCACACGCTCCCAGCCGCGCACTGGAGTGTGCACATCCACTGTGAGCTGCATATCGCGAGTGCTAACTGCCCTCACAGTGATCTCACCGCCAGCGCTCACGCCTGACTGCATGGTCAACAGAGCCTTCACCGAGTATGTCTGCGGGCCTGGAATGACGCTGGCCTTGAGGTTGAAGTTACCGAACGTAGGCGTCTCGAAGTCGAGGTCGAAGCCGCTTCGTTTGAGGTTGCCAGAAACATGCACCATCTTCTCGCCGCGGCGGTAGTGGGCCATCACGTCTATAGACTCGTCCGGCCTCACGGTGCCCTTTACGTCCAGCTCTAGGGACTGGACCGGCTTAAACGGCGTATTCAAGCGCACCTCGACGCCGTACTGGTGTGCCTCACCCGCGAACCAGGACAGGTCCAGCGCCACCTTCTTCCTGCCGTACTCCAGACTGAACGCCGCCTTGTTGCTGGTCAGTGAGACATCGCCGTTGTAAACAATCTTCTTGAAGGGATACTTGAGAGGCGTGGTGAGGGTGATACGAGATACCCGGCGGCCGGCCTCCGCTCTGTCAACCGAGTACGTCACACTCACCGTCTTGCCGTTCAGGGTGGACACCAGCTTACCGTTGGCGGAGCCATTCGGCGGCGCTGTCATGGAGCCATCGAACGTCACTAGCAGGTCAACCGGCCGCGTAATCATCGAGTCGAACTTGATGTTGACCTGCGCTCCTGCCGACTGCAGTTTGCCGTAATCCTTGTGTATGTCAAGCTTGATGGAGGAAGTTAGGTGGACGTACTTCTGACCGCGGGAATAGTCGATGTTCAGAGCGTAGGAACGTTCAGGGACAGCTTCGTAGCTGCCGCTGAGGCTGATGTCATTGAATCCCGCGATCGGAGTACTGGCGCTGAAGCTGACACTGCCACCCGTTTCCGACTTGTCTAGCGTTCCGGTAAACTTTGCAACCCTGTCGCCACGCTTGTAGTCGACGTTCACTTTGCTCGATCCTGGAGTCCTGTCCACATCAATACTTGCTTCGATCTTCTCAAACTCGGGGAAGTTGGTCTCCAGGCCCAGCTCAATCAAGGGTCCATTTGGCCTTGTGGTACGTTTCGACTGAAATTGGACGTCAACGTTTTGTGGCATCCATGGGACCATGTCGTTAGTGTCCACCAACTTATACAGCGCTTTCATCGTTCTCACATTCCCACGCACCGTCAAGTCGAGCTCTATGACTTCTGTCAGGGGCTTCAGCTGTGTTATTTTGATCTTGTAACCATTGCGCAAGTCAACAGAAAGCGTCGACTCGATCTGCCGGATAACCTTGCCCTTCATGATCTCAATGGGAGGTATTGTCATAGACAGGCTGTAGTCAGCATGCTTAGCGTAACGAGAACCGCTGAAATTTAGCTCAGCTCTCTTCCCGTTTCTGTTGTAGTCCACGTTAAGAATGCGGTTTGGCAAGACAAAATCCCAGTTACCACCAATTTTAAGATCGGCCACTTCTTCAAAAGGCGTTGTTAAATGGATGTCGTACGACCCTGACTTCCCGCTGGCAGCAAGCGTCACAAAGCCGCTGAGGCTGGCTTTTCTGCTTCCGCGCTTGTACGTGATGTCGAACTCCTTCCTACTTTCCAGATCTCTTGGGATGGTCCAGGTTCCCCGTATTTTGAGTCCTTTTATCATCTTGCCGTCGTATTTTAGGACAACTACGCGCTTGCCAGCATTTTCCTTGGCATCGATTTCCAGATCATAGTTTTGGCCGTCTGAAATCAAATGAACATTCAGGAAAAATCCAGTTTTGGTATTGTACCGAATGACAGCGTTTCGGGAGGATGAATACCACGGAGATTCAATCACAGTTTTGACGATGATCCGTCTCCGAACGAACCGCTTGCCGCTCACGGAAATCGAATAATCCAGCTTTAGATTCGGAGAGTTGTATACAATGCTGCCAGTTAAGTCGTCGCCTGGTGCTGCGTACTCCCAGTCAAGTTTGCGTTCACCGAACGTTGTTGACGTCAGTTTCACAAGACCACTGCCATGGTTCTTTGTCGTATAGTCAGCCTTGTAGACCAAACTCAGCGTCCTGCCATCCGCCAGCACCAAGGTTGCCTCAACGTCACGGAGATTTTTGGCGATGTTGGCCGAATAGCTGATGTCCACCTTCGGCAGCTTCGGGTTTGTTGTAACCAGGGTCACGGTCCCACTCTTGTCTCCAAGGGACGCGTCCAGATTCGCGTATCTGTTCCCTCCAGACAGTCTCACAACTATCGTCCTTGGCTGTACCGTGAAGTCGTAATCTACCTCAGCCTTTAGCTCCTTGATCTTCAAGGGCATAGTTAAGGTTATGTCAAAGGAAACCTTAGCGCCTCCTGCTTCGATTCCTCCAGAGCCTGAAAGTACAAAGGATCTGCCGTTCCGTTCATAAGATGCATCATACGTCATGGCAGCAAGATTTCTGATGTCGAACCTGCGAGATATTTTCACCGACCTGATCTCATCGATGGGAGACGTCAACACGAGAGATCCCTCGTCCACGCCGTTCTCCCAGCTTCTCGTGGTCTTCAAATTCCATTCTCTTGCGCCACGTTTGGCCATGAATGCGAAGCTACGGGCGTTGGTGCCAGAGGTATGCTCGAGAGATGCCATCATGCTTTCGAAGCCATCATACGGTGTTACGATTTCGACTTTGCCCGACCCACCCGACTTTTCGAACAGGTAGTCGTACGCGATGCCAATCTTCCGGTTGCCCCGCTGCAGGTTGATGTCAGCGGCAATCCTGCCGTCCGCGGCCTGTGTACGACTTGCGTCGGCGTGCAGCTTCTTAAAGCCGTTGTAAGGTGTATTGAGATTGATGGTAATGCTGTTTTCCGTATACTGCAAGTCTCCGGAGAACTCCCTCGTCTCACCACCACGAATCGAGGTCAGTCGGAACGACTTCTTCTTTCCAAGCTTGTAGTCAAAAGAAACGTCCACGTCCTCCATGCCCTCGATCGGCAGCTTAGCCTTGATGCTTCCGTTTCCAGCCCTCCGCTTGATCACGGCCTCTCCCGATACTTCGGCCTCACTGCCGCCTCTGTTTGACTTGAAAGAAAACGACCTCTTCCTGCCGCGGTACACTACGTTTCCTGACATCTGCAGACTCTCAAGCCCTTCCACATAGGACTTGATGGAGATATCTACTCCGACGTCATTTTCTCCAAACACGGCGCGTATTTCGGCCGAGTTACGTTTCCCGTCGCGGTTGGTGTTGATGTAATATCCAACTCCATCCGGGAAAGTTTGGGACCTGATGTCCGCCTCGACGAGACGCATTCCTTCGATGGGAGACTCGATTCGAAGCTTGGCGCTTTCCTTTCCAACGCGCTCGTACAAGACGTACAGCCGGTGGCGATGGTCGTTTACGTGGGCGTCGTATCCAGCTTCACGTTTGCCCCTTCGACTGATGTACTGACCATTTATTCCCATTCGCTCGTATCCCTCCACTGGCGTTATAACATCCAAGTAGGCCGTCTCCCCATTGTATGATCCTCGGCTAGCGATCACCTTTTTGATTCCATTTTTCTCGTAGCTAATTTCCATGATCTTTTCTTCATGATTAACATCATAGACACCAGCATACTTGACGCTCTCCCACTCTGGGTAAGGAGTCTCCAGTTGAAGCAGGCCCTTGGCAGCTCCTACCTTCATGATGCCATAGCCGTTCATCTGAATCTGCGCACCGTTTCTGGCTAGAAGAATGCTGAATGTCTTCTGCTCGTCGCGCAGGTCGTAACGCGCGATGAAATTCAGGGACTTGGCCACGGAGAAAGGCGACGTGATTTCTAGGGCGACGGCCGATTTTGTCCAGCTGAACTCGCCGTCTATGACGGCGCGAATCTGATCCTGGTTGCGGGTCAGAACCAGATGGGCTGACCTGCTGAATCCCTGTTCAACCAGGCCGCCTTCAATGCTGAGCTGTTCGAAGCCAGAGACAGGGGTGGTAATTGAAATCAGCACTGAGTCGTCTGTTGACTCCATCAGCGCAGTGATTTCGTGCCGGATGGTGTTTTTCTCGACGCTCAGCTTTGCGCGCAGCGGGAAGGAGGAAATATCGCACTCAGCAGCTAGCTGGATGTGTCTGCTGTTTTCAAATGGCGTTTCGACAGCGAACATCAGCTTGCCAGCACCATCCATGTACTCCTTGTGCAATGTAGTCCCTAGTACCTGGTCATTCTTGGAAGCTTCCAATTTTGCAGTGCAAGCTTCCCTTGACGAATCGAATCTTGCAGCGAGCTTCGCATTTTCGTATCCCTGAATCGGGGACTCCATTTCCAGGGTCAGGAACGAGGATTCCATCATCAGCTGCGCATTGCCGCTGAACGCAAACTTATCAGTCGCCTTCAAAACAACAACACTGAATGACTTCTTCGGATTTTCAACGCTGTACTCCCCAGTGACAGTCAGCTTTTTGGGACCGGGTATCAGGCTGTTTTGGTACTCAAGAGACATCTTGGAGTGTAGCATGCTGAGCGCAGCGATAAGATTGGCCTCAATGCTGTCGTCTTCCTTGATGAACGCTATCCTGGCAGTCTGCTCTATAAGGTTATAGCTCAGATGCATTGCAGCCGAGGAGAATCCCTTGAACGAGGTTTGTGTCTCAATCGCTATTGATGAACCGGGGCCAGAGAGCGCATACTCTGCGACAACGGAGATGGAGGTCTCGCGGCCACGAACGTATTCCAATGTAAATTTGTTCTCTCGCGAAGGCTTGTTGAAAGTGAGTACCATGGTCTCATATCCATAATACGGGGTGTTGACCCGCACGTTGTAAGTGAGCATCTCGTAGTTACTCTCTCCATCGGCGACAATCAAAATTTGGTTGCTTTCTCGCTTCAAACGCAGCTCAGCATCCATACCATCCCAGACATATGCCAACGAGAGGCTAGTGAAGCCTTCGTAAGGAGTGCCGATTTCGATGCTTCCCTTGCTTCTTTCCAGTTCCCCATTCACTGACATTCCCCAGTCATTGTGGCTTAGCTTTCCCTTCAGCTCCAGCTTGTCGTCCATCTCGAACTCAAAGCTGACGGCTCCTTTCCCAAGACAGCTGTCGGGAGAAGCAAACTTGACGTCAAACTGGGCGGCCGATGGGAAGTCGTGCGTCATTGTCGCATCTGCACTGTAGCTCTTGCTTCCATGCATATACCTCACAACAACCTGAATACTGTCTGTCTGCCAGGTTGGGTTCACAGACAACGTGACTTTCTCAGTAAATGGTGCCTCGAAAGCTATGTGGGACTCTCCAGACACGACTGCTTTTGAGAGAGCACCGTACAGTTTCACGGTCTTGCCGACGTTGTAGTTGACGGTCAGAGATGGATGGTACGTCTCAGACGACTCCCGATTCGCCAGTTTTAGAGTCTTGGACACACCACCAAACCACGTAGCCGTGATGGAGATAGCGACATCACTGCTGTGTCCTTGTAGGCCAGACATGGCATGGATCGCGGGGATGTTGTGAGAGTAAAGAAGCTCAGCTGTCTCGCCATCCCACTCGGCACTGCCAGTCAGCGTCGCATCACTGGCCGAGCGGCATGCCAGCTGCAGAGACCCAGCCAAACGCTCGAACCACCTGGTGTTGCTGATTACCTCCCGACGGTATTGCCAGTTCAGAGCGTTTTCGAACTTGGCCGTATCGGTCATCTCGATGGTCTTGTCTCCCTTGAGTATCTTGGTTTGGCCGACGTATGAAACTCTCTCATCATTTTGCACGTTCACTTCCACTGTCTGCGAGATCTGGGAATATTCCCAACCCTTGAAAGGTGAAGTCAGTGTGCCATGGCCTGCAATAGTCACAGACGTCATTTTTCCATAGCTGGAAACCTGAGTCCATTTTGAGTTCATGTCCATGATGATCTTCTCGTTGTCACGGCGCAGTTCTAGATGTTCCTTGAGCGTTGTCTTGTCAACGTTTATTTCATGGCGTTGGCGCAGTTCATATGTCGTTGGTGGATTGGGCAGAACCAAAGTTAGGACGGTCTTCGTTCCCACAACTCCGTGTGGTTGACGTTCCTGGGCAAAAAGGCCTGACAAAGAAGTCTCGTGAGCGTTCCAGTGCGCAGCGATTCTCCACTTGGCTCCCTCTCCGGTCGGGGTCAGGTCGTACGAGACGTCGAAGCCCGGGCACACGGCGCAGTTGATGACCAGCTTTCCAGAATACGCTTGGGCCGCTTCACTCCCACCCTCCAACAGGGCCAAGAAAATCTCCCTGACGTTATCTTTGAGGCTGAATGAGGTGTGTAGCCTATGATGGTCTAGGAAAAACTTAAAGTTGGTGACGAACTTTTCAGCGTTTTTGAATGGGGTTTTCAGTGTCAGTGTAGAGTCAATGTCTGTTTGTCTTTCCAGAACATGCTTGCTGTTGAAGTTCAGTGACACTTCCATGTCTTTGGTGGTCATCCATCGAGCAAGAATCCCTGTGTCCAAGTGGCGGTCCCCCATTTTGAAGTGGAAGCCGATCTTTGCCTTCCGAAGCGCGTCCGTGGGTAGAGCAACCTCAAGCCCAGCGTTGATCTTGAACGCATCAGAGTTGTGGGACAACTCAAAAGTTCCTCCCAGAGCAATCTGATCTTCGTTCTTGGTGGCGGAAGCGAGAGCCGTGAACGTGGTTCTGTCCATGTGGTAGTTGAAGTTCAGCTGATTGTGCTCCCAGCCACGGAAGGGCGTCACCAGGTCCACCTCTGTCTTGATAGTTGTAAGCCGACGCATGTCCACCAGAACGAGACCTGTCATGCGCGCCTCGCTCCCCTCCACGTTGCCGGACACCTGCCGAAAGCCGCATGTAGTCAGGGTCAGCGAAACACTCGAACACTGCACAGTGGGAATGGGTAAAAGCGGCTGAAGATAAGGCAGTCTGGATATACTTTTTCCAGCCTCTTCGCTTTTGATAATGAATGCACGCATGGCAACATTCAAGTGAGGCCGTTGCGTTTATAAGCAGTCCGAATAGAGCTAACATATCAAGTACGTTGTACGTTCGTCATACCTCGAAATTCACCAGTAGGTCAGAGGACAGTAGGTCGTCCTGCTCCACATCGGGCTTCTTAAAAAGCGTCAGCGACATGGTAGTGAAGCCCTCAATGGGCGTGTCGACGTTGACAGTAGTAGTGAACCCGTTTCTGCCAACCCGCTGATCCTTGCGGACGATGTGAATCGTCTTGCCGGGCGCGTACTGCAGGTCAGCCGTCAACTCCGTCGCCCTGCCAAAACAAATTACTGCAGGTCAGCCGTCAACTCCCTCGCCCTGCCAAAACAAATTACTGCAGGTCAGCCGTCAGTTCCCTCGCCCTGCCAAAACAAAAGGCAAATCACGCTTGGCTAGCCGTGAAATATATGGTGATGCTCCCATGGCCATGGTGCTCTTCTCCAGCTGCCAACGCTGTTGGGTGGAAACAATTGTTTTTTTATCTCATTTTTACGGTTTCATTGCGTACACATCTTTTGCAACGGCAACTTCTCTATCAAGCATTCAAGCAATGTAATAGAAGCCCAGTGTCTCTCGGCACCACGGCAACACAATTTTTCCACATGTTTAGAAGCTTGGAGGACGGTTGATCCTAGCTGCATGCCTGAAAATGATGATGCATGCTCTTCTGCTTGTGCTTGACACTTACATGCAATGCACGGGTTACTAAGGTTGCGTGACACGTTTTTACTTACCTGTAACTCGGCAAAAAATATTCAAGTATAATTTTTTGCCACCCAAAACAACGCATGTTCGTATCCACAACTAATGGTTTGATTGGAAAACACTGGTCATGCCAGACCACCCATTCATGATAAACGCTTCTTGGTTTGGGTTTACTCACGTTAAAGTTGCATCTAGCTTGATTAGACGACCGGGGTATTTAAGACTGGCGGCCATGATATTGCCCCGCAGGAGCACGTCGAAGGACGCCTTCTGCGTATCATCAACATCCTTGTTCCAGAAGATCTCGAAGTTGGCAGTCTTCTCCCATCCGTAGGGTAGTGCCTTGGATGAGAACGAAATGTCAGTGAGAGCTAAATGGTGGCGTAAGCTACATGAGTCAGCGTTTTGGAGGATAATGATGATATCCATGCAAACATATTGCTTAATGAGTTTGGGATTTTTTGTTGCCTGTAGTAGTCTGCGGCATAGGAGTCTGCAATGTTCGTCCCGGACGCTCCCGGCGAATACGGAAGCGACGCCTCAAGAACTCAGCACAGGCACATTCGTGACCCCCCGACATACCGTGAGCACAGCAACGACGCCAGAGCGCTTACCGTGAACACCGCCATGACACGTCGATCGCAGCGGAGGTCGACCTTGACCCGGGGGCTATCGCCGGTGACCAGCGCCGAGACCAGGCCTGAGAAGCGGCGGCCCGGCGCCTCCAGCAGCAGCTCCAGCACATGCTCCTCCTGGAGCTTGTACTCGGCGCCGAGCGTGTAGCGGCGCTCACCGCCCTGTAGCGTGGCACGCGCCAGGTAGAGGCCGCCGGTGCCGGGCACCAGGCGACCGGCCGCCTGCCATCGCGGGTAGTGCGGCACGCTCAACGTCAAGTCCACCTCGAACTGGCCGTGCTCGCGCGCCAGCAGCGCCACCAGCGCCACCTCGTCGCGCGCGGCCGACGTCTGACGGACGACCACCATCTGCCGGGACAGGCTGGGTCAGTTGACGACGGCCCAGCGCAGGTCGACACTGGTGCAGCGCAGGTCAGCACCGGCAGGTGTCGAGGCCATCTCACCAGCGACGGTCATGGCGCCATTGAAATACCCGAAAGCATGTTAAATATGCTCAGCTTTGCACCATATTCTGTTACTTGCCTTAGCATATGTTAGATGTAATCACAATTAGGCATCAACATAAAATTTGCCATCTGTGTCAGTTGTAGACATATTGCATGCAATATAATCAGTACGAATTTAATACCGTTGCCGGTTCAATGAGGGGCCACGGTGCATATTCACAAAACACCTGGTCTCTTGCTTTCCCTGCGCGCATGGTTTCCCGACTACCGCTGCTCGCTTTAACCTAAACCAAACAATATAAAACATGCTCCTTACACACTGCGAGCTTCTCCCTCAAAATACTCCAGCCCCTCAGAAAAAAACGGCTGGGCTAACTCGCTGATTATCCAGTGTCGTGCAGGTCCCAATTCTACCTAATTCGCTCAAATTCACCTCAAATTCATCTCAGATTCACCAGCGGGCTTCTTTGGTTGAGGACGTGCAATGGCGGGACCGCCGACTGCTAGTAGGGCGCACCGCTCACCTTCAGGTGGGCTGCCTCCTCCTCACGCCTCACGCCGGTCTGCATCGAGTACTTGGCGAAGGGCAGGTCGAGGTCGGCCGACACGCCGTAGTTGAAGCCGTGCTGCTCCGACTTGAAGTCCAGCCCCAGCTTGCCCCTGGCGAACTTCTCCTTGTTCAGCCGTCCTTCGATGCCCACCACCACCTTGTGGTCCTGGCTGAACTGAAATGACACGATGCAACAAGTATGGAAGTGATCTGAATTTCGGTCACTTTCCGTGTAACGCGTAGGAGATAATCCCTTCTGATTCCTATCTGATTTCTGAATATTCTTCTACAGATTCTGAAAGGGAAATCGATGGAAGGCAATGCGGGTGCAGTGCCCAACTATCACTATCTTTGCTTTTTGCTCGGCATGCGCATAATCACTAACTACCTTCTAACATTCACATCACACAGTGCCTTTGTTACGTCTTCAAGCATACCCCGCTAGCATGCGGGTGTTCAGGTGTGCTTTGAATTCAAACTCAGCTTAAAGGAATGACATTGCTGTACATTCCGCTGAGAATCTGGTACAACAAGACTTGCGCCAGCAGAGCAGAACGCGCGGTCTCGATTTCGACACTCACGTCCATCTCTCCGCCCAGCTTGAAGTCCACGTCCCAGTGGGCGACGACCACGCCGAGACTGGCGGCCATCTTGTCTCCGTGGCTCAGCATGGTATTCAGCTCGTAGTGGCGCTCTCCGCGCGTCAGCACCAGCCGGCTCTCACAGCCCTCTGAGGTCACTTGCCGCTCAGCTGTCAGCTGGGTGTCCAGAATCGGAAGCGCAGAGAACTGGGACAAAGAGGCAGTCTCGTGAGGAAGGACAGCTGGCGCGCAAGTTAAGGAATCATGAAAGGCATCCAGTCGCTATGACGGCAGCCGTTAAATCATAATCAAACACGACACCTGACAGCTACAAGCAGAACAGCAGCAAATGGCGTGCACACAAACACCTTCGGAGATGTTGCATAACACGGGGACGAATATCTTACCCCCGCGGCAAGCTAATGCGTCAGCGCGGGGTTTCTTACCGCACGTTTTAAAACAGTTTGCAAAGATAAGCAACGACCTGATGCAACACATTTGCATCCTGACAATGCAGGTAAGGCTTGATGTTAAGCTGTTCAAGTACCTTGGTATCCAGGAACAGTTTGTAGGCGGTGAGGTCGTCCCGCTCGTCTTTGCTCATCTTGGAGCTGACGATGATGGTCTGGCGCTCGCCGTTCATGAAGCTGTAGTCGGTGTTGGCGTGAATGATAAGGTTGTCTCCAGCGAAGCGGAACGACCCCTTCATGTTGCTATCCAGAACGTAAGACTCCACTGATGTCAGGACGTTGTAAGTCCCATCATCTTCGCTAAAGGCGCCTGCAGAGCATATGGTTTGTCGACATAACATTCGAAATAGCTTATATTTCGCATCGCAAAAAATGCACACTTTTTAGGAAGGTCTCTTTTTCAGCTCAATAACATAAAGGAAAACAAAAACTCCAGAAAAGTAAGGAATGCAATTTCTTCAGCAAGCGAGGAATGTTGTTCCCATCCCAAGGATGTGTCGTGTAAAAGGAGGCTAACATGCACAATTCTGTGGAGACATTATATTGACCAAATCAGGCAAGTTTATCGAATCACGCATGCCTTCCTTGAAAAAGCCAATCTGTGTATGCTCTTCTAAGGAAGGTTTCCCATAGCTACATCTTATCCTGAAGCCCACCGGGCAGTACTCACCCTTAAGGACAATGGGCGTCTGGTAGAGTTTGCTGATGGTGATGTCTACGTTGTATTTGTGCTTGTTTTTGCTGACGATCAGTCCACCGTCGAAGGCGACCAGCTCGCCGGCGGGGCCGCGCACGCTAAAGGAGGGCGAGTAGCGCACCATGACTGGCGTCTCGTCCACCTCCAGCCGGCCGGCAACGCCAGCCAGCTCCCTATCGTCCATCTTGAGCGACGCATCGAACTGCTTGGTCTGTCCTGCCAGGTCCAGGCTGCCCGACACGTCCATCGACTTGATGGGCGTGCGGAAGCCGGCCTTGAACGCCTTCTGCTCGAAGTTGATCATGTAGTCCACGTTGATGCGGCGGTCAGTGGCGGAGCCGGGCGTGTCGATGACCAGACTGGACTTCCTGACGCTGGCCTCGTTCGAGTGGCGGTACTCGAATTCGAATCCCTTGATGGTGTCCGTCTTCTCGATGGTGAAGCGGGCAGTCAGCGGACCGGAGAGCAGCACGCTCGGCAGACCCTCAGAGCCTTGCGAGTACCTGATGTCCGTGCAGAAATTGACGCCCAGTAGCTGCGGGCTGACATAACGGTCAGAGCATGCTACCAGCTCGTAGCGGTTGTCGGTATGCATCTCCAGTTTGCGTGCTTTGTTCCTGAACACACTGTGGAAACGGGTGTTGATGTCCAGGATCTCGACCTTCTCTCGCGGCATGTTAATCCTCACCGAGACCATCTTGCCTGAGTCGACGATGGCGTGGCCGTCGAAGACGGTGGACGTGTGAAGGTTCGTGTTCATCTTGAGGCCAGTGTGCGCAACATGTGCATCCACCACCATCTCGCTCATGATCTCCACCGCCGCCGACGGCTTGACGTGGCCGTTGATGTTCATCTTGTCCCAGCTTTCAATGTTGAAGCTGCCGCCCGTCTTAAGAGACACAGTGGCCGTGCCGACCGCCTTCAGCACAAATGGGAAGCCAGCGATAGTGGGCATGGTGTAAGCCGAATCCAGGAACTGGTAGTTCTCAGTCCAGTCCATATCCTTTGCCAGCTTCTGCAGGAAGTCCAGCGGATCACTGGCTCCCAGCGAGCTGACCAGCTCGTTAAGCGAGTCGTACTTGCTGAACTTGAGCTCGTTGCCGAATACTTTCAAGTACGCGGATGCCTTGGGCGTCTGGATCCGACGGCCGTAGGTGGAGAGGGTCGTTAGAATCGCGGCCACGCATCGTCTTCAGGATATGGCTGATAGCCTGCTGCGGGTAGACGCCATTGTTGCCGAACATGCTTTCGGAAAAGTCCTCCAGGCCTTCCACGCGCCCACCAACCTCCAAAAGATTAATGGCCTGCCCGAACAAGTCCACGGTGAAGTTGAACATTCCTGACTTGGGCATGTATGACTCAGGCGTGAAAATGACATTTCCGTCGACAGTCGCACCGGCGTTCATCGACGTAGAAAACATCGTCTTCTCGAAGTACCTGGAGAACTTCCGTACGTCAGTTTTAAACTTTTTCTCCAGGTCCACGTTGTAGAGGAGCAGCTTCATGTACTGCTTGGCGGGGTCGTTGGTCTCCTGCATGTTGGTCAGGTGGCTCCACACAAAGCTGCTGACCTGGTTGACTGACTCGCGGGAGAGGATCTCCTGTACCTTGTCAACGACGCCGTGCGTTGGGCACTGCATGATGGCCAGATAAGAGGCAATACGCACCTCAGTGTCTTCCTGCTCGCTACTGAAGATGCCCATCAGGTTACTGTCGGTCACGGCACTGCACGGCATGCGACGGAACGCCCGGATCGCCGCCAGCCGCACCTCCATCGTGTTCTCACCCTCGAAGCAGCTGCGCAGCGTGTCGCCGCCGGCCACCAGGCGGCCGGCGTTGCCGAGCGCCTTCAGCGCGCGGTCAGCATCTTCAGGCTCCTCCTCCTCGGAGTTGCTGCGGCATCCGGAGCCCAGCATGGCCTCCAGCTGGCGGATCGCCTGCTGAACGGCAGCCTGCTCTGCGCAGTCCGCGTGCCTGCTCGCAGTAGTGATGCACCAGCGAAGAGACGCCGAGCAGAGTCTGCCGGCGCACGTCGGCCTCCCCCAGCAGCGGCGCCAGCGCCGCCACCATCTCCAGGCTTGGCTCGTGCACAAAGGCCAGAGCCGTCATCCAGCGGTCGGGCCGCCTCCTCGGGCACGGCGCGGCGGCTCATCAGGTCGCCCATGACGGACATGGCTGAAGCAGTGCCGGCCAGCGGAAGTGCGTCGATGAAGTAACGCCGCGCCGGTCCGTCCTTCGTCATCGCCTCCAGCTGGCTCAACCCCGACGCGTCGAAGTGCGGGAGGGTGCGCACGAGGCGCGTGAAGAGGGCCGGTACCCTCAGGTCGTACACCGTCGGCCGTCTTCAGCTCAAGCTGTGCCAGCAGCTCAGCGGCCGCCTGCACCCGGTTCCGCTGCGTCAGCTGGGCGTCTGCGTGGTCGAACAGCAGCGAGCCGCGCACGGTCGGCTCATCTGTAAAAACGGACAATGTTTTCATTGCATCATGCTCTGCTTACTTGAACGTCATGCGCAGCATCATCCATTGGTTGCGAATGACCAATTTCTCCTAAAGCCAGCCGCCAGGAGAGCATGCAAACGATGTGCATGGCCGGGCGCTACAGCTCTCATAGCTTCGATAAAGTCAACCCGGTCGCTGAGGGGCATTCGCCCGGCAGCTGAGCGGCGGCGCTGCTCACCGCTGTCGTAGCTGGGAACGGCGTCTCTGACGGTGACCTCCGTCAGCCGGACCGTGGTGCGAGTGACGGCGCCGTTCTCGCCCTGGGAGAACGGCCGGAACAAATGGCTCTCCTCGCACTCCGCCGACTGCAGCCGCTCCGTCGACACCCTCTGCTGGCACCGGAGCGAGCTCCTGCGCAGACGGGGCTGGCTCAGACGGGGTGGCCGCGTCGGTCCGACGGCATGGTGACTTCGGTCAGACTCGGTGACCGAACGAGTCGAACATGGCGATCGAACGTGTCAGACACACCGATCCAATGCAGCGGTCACGCTGATCCAACATGTCAGACACGCCGATCCAACTCGATGGAGACGTCGATCCAACGCGACAGACACGTCGATCCAAGGTGGCAGAGATGCCGATCTAACGTGTTAGACTCGCTGATCCAACGCGACAGACACGCTGATCCAACGCGGCAGACACGCTGATCCAACGTGTTAGACACGCTGATCCAACGCGGCAGACACGCTGATCCAACGTGTTACACAGGCTGATCCAACGCGGCAGACACGCTGATCCAACGCGGCAGACGCACCGATCCAACGCGGCAAACACGGTAGTGGTGCAGAGCAAATGCCGTTCGCGCTTAAGCCCAATGCAGCGGCAGGATGGACTGACGGTCGCTTACCTCGTTGAAATATTTCGCTAGGATTAAATCCATCACTGAGGCAGAGCAATTTTTAACTACAGATAAGGTGCACAGCTGCATAGACGTGTGCTTTACTAGACCTAGGACGGAGTCGAATCTGAGTCGAGCCAACAAAATCAGCCATGAGTCGACGCAAATAAGAAAGTAGCTGACGCCGTACAAAAGCAGAATGGCAGCCCATATGGTTCTCAAATGAGACAGTCATATATGAATAAGTTGCTATGAAAACAAATATCCTCTACAGACTTTCACGAAACCAGTACAGCGATTTTGTCTCGAAAACTTATCAAAAGAATCAACTCTACCAGGGCTGGGTCCGAAGCTGAGTTGGTTGTCCCTCAGTCGTAATCGGGTTCGATTCAAAATTGTGCTGCGCCGCTCTGAGTCAAAGTCGGAATCAATCCCATGCGGTGTCAGTCGGAGTTCACTCTGCTGAGGTGGAATCGGGCGCGGGCCCGCTTTGGACGCGTGCCAGCCTACACGGTGTGGACTGAGCTGCCTTGGTCGACTAGGTTTCTTAAAGATCTCCAGCTTGGCATAGCTCCGTCTATGATTGGCGCAGCCAGGACTTCCTTAGAAGGGTGAAAGGAGGGCAGGTTCAGGGCGAACGCACCACGGGGATTTCTAACTTTCTGTCAGGCGACATCGATGGCGAAAAATGAAAAAAATGATGTTTTGGGGTAAGGGGCGGGCCTCTATAGCAGAGCGGTGACAGGGCAATGGCGCACACGATGGCAGCCCGCCTGGCAGGCGGCTGTCAACGTGGTGTCGCGCCATGGCAGCCCAGGAGATGGGCTGCCACGATGCGGACTGCCACGATGCGAGCTGCCACGATACGGGCTGCCAACGGATGCGCGTTCGCCGAGCGGCACTCACTTGACAAGCGGCAGCGACTGGACCTTGGAGTAGGTGGTGTACGGCGTGGTCTGCAGCGACGAGATGAGGTGGCCGCGGCCCGTGCAGCTCAGCAGGTCCTTAGTCTTGGTGACCAGGTAGCCGGAGCCGTGCTCCTCCACCAGGTAATCGGTGGTGCAAACGCCCGTCACGTCCGTCTAGGGGCGTGACGTCACTGGTCAATATATGACGTCACTGGTCATTGCATGACGTCGCTGGACACGACCGACGTCCGGCCGCACAGTGTCTGTCACGTTTGTGTGGTCTTCAGGAATCGCCTCACGTTTGGCAGCATTGCCGTTAGCAGTGTCAGTGAGCGTGCTGAGCCACACTAGACGCACCCGAGACATCGCCGGGTCGAGGTACATTTGCGGGCTAAGTTGTATTTGTGTTACATTCGCGTAGTAGGATGTGGCAAGCAGCCCTCCTTCCTTTGTGTGGCTCAGTGCTTTGACAGCATGGAAGGTGTCTTCGCTTATTTTGCTTGTAATATTTATGCTTGTCTCAGGAGAGTGGTGTTAACTTGGTTATGTTCTGCACGCCCCGCAACAAACTTACAGTCCCATCGTCGGTCACGCCGGGGCGGGTAGATGAGGAAGTGATGTGTTCATGGCAGTGCAGCACTCACCTCCTGACTGCGAGTTTCACCAGCCTCCATCGACCTCAGACTGTTGACCATGGTGGACATGAGACCCCGCTTGAAGTTGAGCACCCAGACGGGCTCATTGGGGTCGGAGCACACGTCCTCGATGCGTCCATGCTGGTAGCTGCAATGGAGGGAGGTGTCGGCTCATGCCTGCCTCAGGCCATGCGTTTCCACCTTTAGTATGCCGTCATCTTGCGCGGGCGGCACGGGTAAAAATCAACGGACAAGATATTGCGGCCACCTGTGATCGGCGCAACCGAGCAAAGTTTCGGGAGGAGACGCCACATGCTCCAGGGTGCAAATTGCGGACACTTTTTGGGGGGAGGGGGGGGGACAGGATCATACCAACTCGTCTAGGGCACTCGTTGGTGGCGCCCCCGCAGCGCCTCCCAGTGGCGCCCCCAGCGGCCGACATGCCGCGCTCTGGTGGTCTGTGGTGCCATGCCGGTGCACACGACACAACATACCCTCCCGGCGGCTGGCGCCCCTGCAGTGGCTGCCCCCCTCGCTCTTGATACCCTCCCGGCGGCTGGCGCCCGTGCAGTGGCTGCCCCCCTCGCTCTTGATACCCTCCCGGCGGCTGGCGCCCGTGCAGTCGCTGCCCCCCCCCCCCTCGCTCTTGATACCCTCCCGGCGGCTGGCGCCCTGCAGTGGCTGCCCCCCTCGCTCTTGATACCTCCCGGCGGCTGGCACCCGTGCAGTCGCTGCCCCCCCCCCCTCGCCCTTGATACCCTCCCGGCGGCTGGCGCCCGTGCAGTCGCTGCCCCCTCGCTCTTGGCAAACAAACATGTGCCGACTTCGCGGAACGCTGGACGCAACGCATCGGACAGTTGATGCGTTCAGCGCCCATTCGAATCATGTTCTGGTGTGCCCACTCTCGGCGCAGACGGCGGGATGAGAAGAGTGGGGCCCGGCTCGCCCGCACGTGACGAGCGTCGCCCGCTGCACGCGGACATCGCGCGCGACTTACCTGAAGGACAGCGGCCGCCGCTCCAGCTCCCGCTTGAAAGTGGCCATGTTGTCCACCTCCTGCTTGCTGTTGGCGTTCTTCGGGTCCGAGTCCTTAAGCGTGACCTCTCTCAGCTGCGAAGTAAGTCCGGGGTTAGGCGGTTGCATCGGCGGCGATGTAAACACTGATCTGAAGTGGGTCAGATCTGCACCGGGGCATCGGAACCGGGTACCAGTCTGACACATGTCGATCACGGGAGGCACTTTTCCATTGGCGATATAACTGCACAAGGCGCACAAAACAACCATTCTCAATTGCTTGCAGTAATCGGTCAAGTTGCCGTCAATGTGTGAAGCTAATGCCAGCATCGATTTGAGTTTACATTGGTGTGCAGAATTCTTCCCATACGAAAACGCTTCCTCAAAAAAAGGAAACACAATTTAAATAGAATTAACTGCGGAATTTAGTCAGAATTCGTCTGTCCGTCCCGTCCCGGTGGCTCAGTTGGTTAGAGCGCCTGCGTTCCGATCCACCCACCCGTGGCGGGATGGGTTCAAGTCGCTTTGGGGCGCTCGTTATTTGCCCTTGGCAGGTATAGCCTGCGGCCGGTGCCAGCGGTCGCGCTAAAGGTCAGTTGACGTCAGAGGGCAGGACGGGCCGTGCCGAGCATTGCGGCACGTAAAGCTTTCGCCACTAAATTCTGCCGTTGCCTAGAATTGCGCGATCGGATGGTGGGGTTCAGGGCTCACACAACAAGCACTGCTTAGAGTGAGCGCTGATCCCAGAAATCCATCCATTCAAAGGGTTCGGATCAAATTTATAAAAGGAATTAACTGCAGCCTGAATATATCATAGGTTTTTTTGGCAGATGCGACACCACGCCTTGACTCGGCTGGGAAAATCGTCCCACAAGAGAGCTTTTTGTAGGGTTTGTAACAACACGGACCGACAGGTAGAAACAAGTGCTACATGTTCTTGTCTGTCCGTGCTGCCCCCGTGCGCATTGGTCTGCCTGCGCCGCGTCTGTCTGCACGTGTGCCTTGCCTGCAGGGTGAAGTCGCAGCCGGAGTTGGCCGTGATCTCGGCCGTAGCCGTCACGTGCAGCCTCGACGCCTCGTCGGTGGCGCCGGCTAGCGTCGTCTCCGTGTCCGAACTGTACTCATACACGTACGTCTTGCCCGGCTGGTAGGCCAGCTTGGTCTGCTCGGGACTGACGCAGAAGGCGGCGCACTTGTTCTCCCATCGTTGCCCCGTTGGCACTGGAACGGAAACGACAGTGGTGAGACACGGGCACACCACTGCAGGCAGCACTGCACAGCATGGTGGCGACGCGCAGCACGGCAGTGGTGCAACGACAGCGATGAGACACGGGCACACCACTGCAGGCAGCACTGCACAGCATGGTGGCGACGCGCAGCACGGCAGTGGCACAGCGACAGCGGTGAGACACGGGCGTACCACTGCAGACAGCACTGCGCAGCATAGTGGCGACGCGCAGCACGGCAGTGGCACAGCGAGATGGTCGCGCAGCCTAACACGCAAGTAGTAGTATCGGCGTGGCGCGGCATGGTGAAAGGGAGTATGCTGAGAGGATGGTAACGAAGAGGAAAAGCATGTTAATGATTTTCAATGCAACGATCTTTTGCATTTCGAGTGTACAAAAACATTGGCAATTTCTAAACAGTCTGACAGAAGGTAATAACAAGCACGAGTTTTTGGCGGAACGACAAGGAAAAGCCCAGTGGCATGGATTTAGATTGGCCAGATAAGTTAGAAGATGGGGATGAGTAGTGAAAAAGGTTATCCCTGTCACCTCAAAAAGCACCGTCAGAAACTGACTTCTCACTGTATTTGACCTACTTTCTTCTCAACGTTGGGTGGGGGCTGGATGCCCCTCCCCCCCCCCCCAACCGAATAGGAAACTATGCCTCTGCCCAGTGTTGTGCACATAGGACGGTTTTAATCTATTTTTTAAAGAAAAACCCGCTCGTTGTTTGCCCAATCACACGCCATGGCGACTTGCTTTATGCTCGAGTTAACCGAGAGTCGCCAGAGGACGAGCTGATTAGGACACAGCGGAGTGTCGGAAATAGGCCATCACCGCGCCGACCACAACAGATGGTCGACGCTGGATGCAAGCCATTGTCAACATCCTGCCCGCTATCAGTGTTTGAACATCGCGGAGAGCGGCGAGGCCCCTTCTATGGCCCGCGCTTAAAATTTGCTGCCTAACCACCTTAATGCCAGGTGTAACTCGCGAGAAAAAGTTTTGTAAGTATGTCCAAATGACAATAACTACGAACTTTGCAAAAGTTTCTCCGAAGCAAAGGTTGCCAATCACTGCTCTACAATGTACATAATGGGAAATGTTTCACCTGGCGTCTGCCTCTCACTACGGTTCCACCGAACCAAAAACCGCAACCATAAGCACAGCAGCACGACCGGAGCGCCGATGTTAAGGCCCTCTCGTCCTCTTCAGCGGCCGTGTCCAGCAGCGCGGCCTGCTGGGTCGCGCGCTCCTGGTCTGTTTGACATTTGGTCGCGTTTGATGCGAGCCACGCGGCTCCGCCTGCCCTCAGCGGTCCCAGACCGCCGCCGTGTTTGTGCCGTGGAATGACCCTGAGCCCGACCAAGCCGGCGGTCGGCGTTTCCAGGAAGATGGACACGAGCCACTCATCGCTGGAGTTCCCGGTGCTCTGTCACGCCTCACGTCTGTACGTGACTGTTGCACTCTCGCCAGTGCTCTCGCACCGAAATATTGCGACACGCTTTTCGTCTGTGCGCGCCAACTAGCCTTTGCAGACCCTTCCGGTGATAACAGACGTATACGGCAACTAGAATATTCGGCCATATCCAGGGGTAGCTACGAAGTTCAAAAGCAATGATAGTTCTACTCACAATACCTACATATTATCTTTTGTATTTTTGCAATCTTCTTCCTCAGCTAGAAAACGGTAATGTACTATGTCGTATGTATCTGTATGTAATGTACCTATGGAAACGAATCACGCGAATCTTTTACCCTCTCATGACACGGACAACGGTTCCCCCGCATAATGTCGGTTCTCGGGTGGGTAAACTACGCCGGGGGCGGGGGGGGGGGGGGCAATATTGATGCCGGGGCGCAGACAGCTCGACAGGGCGAGCACTGGGTGGAAGTGGAGCGAGTCTTGCTACGTCTGGGCAGAGCCTACGACGGCCGTCAACAAGTCCAACGGTCAGGAATCCGCGGACCCTTACACTGGAGTGCTCAGAAGGGCCCTGCAGCACGTCGGAGCCCGGCAGCAGTCTCCGAGGCCAAGCGGAGGACCCCGGGACCCGCTGAATGCCCCAGCCACCTGGCAGATGTCCCAGGGAACACCGCAAACCCCCGGGACCCGCCGAGGGCCCCAGCCACCTGTCAGATGTCCCAGGGAACACCGCAAACCCCCGGGACCCGCCGATTGCCCCAGCCACCTGTCAGATGTCCCAGGGAACACCGCAAGTCCCCGGGACCCGCCGAGGGTCCCAGCCACTTGTCAGATGTCCCAGGGAACACCGCAAGTCCCCGGGACCCGCCGAGGGTCCCAGCCACTTGTCAGATGTCCCAGGGAACACCGCAAGTCCCCGGGACCCGCCGAGGGTCCCAGCCACTTGTCAGATGTCCCAGGGAACACCGCAAGTCCCCGGGACCCGCCGAGAGCCCCAGCCAACGGCAGATGTCCCAGGGAACACCGTAAGCCCCCGGGACCCGCCGAGGGCCCCAGCCACTTGTCAGATGTCCCAGGGAACACCGCAAGTCCCCGGGACCCGCCGATGCCCAGCCACTGTCAGATGTCCCAGGGAACACCGCAAGTCCCCGGGACCCGCCGAGGGCCCCAGCCAACGGCAGATGTCCCAGGGAACACCGCAAGTGCCTGGAAAGCGGCCTCTGGGTTGTCATCGGTTTCCGATAACCAGTAGAAGTCCCAGAGAACGGCGCACGCCTCCAGATCCAGTGGGGCGTCACGAGGCACACAGACCACTCGTATTGACCGGCATCCCTCTACTCGGTGCTGCTGGAGTCATCTTCAAGAGCCACTTTAGCGCATTACCATGGTTGGAAGCCTCAAGATCGCTTTTCATTGGTATCAGAATTCGTAATACGCGCGACCACTCATTGAGGTGCTTCAGAAAATCGAAAAGGCTAGACGTGCCTTCTTTCGTAACAGCTGATTAAACTACATGACACTTATTTTACATTACGCGACAAAGTGAAACAAAGGGACTCTAATCATGCAGATACCTAGGCCTATGGCTCAAACACACATTCCGTTATAAAATGAACGGATATGTGGTATATCGATAATGTATATTGATATATAACGTATATGGAGTGTCAAAATCACGTACACACATCAAGAAACACGGTGCGACGCCAAAACAGAACCAGAACATGGCCGCAGATAACTTAAGCTAAGTTATGCAAGATTTCTAACACGAGTCGATATTTGGAGATGGGGATTGCACTTGAATTCGATCGGACTGTTTTTTGTCGTTACGCAAGGCATACTTCGAATGATAGTTTATGGGCATCAGCCTCAGTGATATCATGCGCCTAGAAGCCTCTGGAACGCTGTGACATGTCATAACATGACAGAAGCTATGTCATGACATTGCCTCGTTGCTGCAAAAAACTGGCTGGATTTCACGGAATGCAAATTGAATATTTCTGGGATCTTCACTCAGCTGTCATTCAGACGAAATAACCGACGACGACAGCCGTACCATTTGTTTTATTCTGTCTATGGGGTAACTTCTGTAGAGTAAAAATAAACAGAACGGGAAAATGAAGCCCCTTCACCGCCGGCTGAGCCACTCCTGTTGTCACGTGGCGCCTATTTGGATGTCACGGTCCAAACCACGTGACCTGGCGATGCTGGTGGCCATTTGCGCCGCCGGCCCGCCCCGCCCGTCACCGGGTCCGATCGGGTTCATCGACTCGGTGCCGGCCTGATTGGACATTTCCTGAATCGCTGACCTCCGGATGACCAGAGGCTGGGGATGGGGTGCCAGTGGGCCCGCGGCGTGCGCAGCCGGACCAGCCGCCGGCACGGACAGATGTGGAGAGACCGGCCTGGCGAGATGAGATTAGAAGGCTGCCTGTCGTGGGTTTGACCACCGGAAACCGTACGGGAGTTTGGTCTGGAGTATTAGAGGAGACTTCGGCCGTCCCTGGCCGGCGGGGCCACGCGCGGTGACAGGGCGGCGGTTTAGCCGTGCGACCGCACTGGGATGATCTGCCCTGGCGCCCTTTGACCCAGCTATCGACGCCGCGGCGGCCGGCTGACCCGGAGCAAACAAAGCAAACGTCAAGAGGCCATCGACGCTATCAGTCGATTCGGACAAACAGCACGCAGCGCGGACGACACTCCGGGGCGCTACCCCCCTGAGGGTCCGCCACTGGCCTGGCGCGAGACAAAGGCTCTGTGAGTCAGGCTGAGGAGCCAGCCCCGCCGCAGCCCAGCTGCACACTCGGCGGGGCGCGCGGGCGTCTGGAACCGGTTGGAACAGACAGCTGACCACTGTCTAGCTGCCCGCAGAGACTGAACGCCAGGGGACCAACGGTGTCCTCTCGAGCGTGCGCTCCCCTTGATATTCTTTTTTGTCCGGGATCCCATGTCGCTCGGACCCGCCTGTGGCTTAGTAGAATAATTCGGAAAATTTCCGGCTCCTGGCTGAATTTAGATAAGTTTAACTTCATGCGAATCAGAGAAGAAAACATTCTGAGCATTTGGTATGGTGTAAAATTATAGCCTCAACAATCAAGATGCCAGGTGCCTGATTTAGTAACATGTAGGCTTGCAGGGAAGTTAATACCGATTCGAGAACTGCCAAAATTTAAGGTACCTTGGATGTGCGGTCATAGAAAGACCTTGCACTGAAATAATTACTTTTATTATATATTTGTAATATCGCAACCGGCATCTCAAGGCGGGAAGCCGAGTTCCAGAAAGCGCAGTTCAGACTCTGCCAAGACTCGTGCTGGAACTGGTTATGGGGACTCAGAAGATGCTCACCAAATCTTGCCAAACAAGTGATGATACAGCGCACTGGTAAATCGAATTCAGCGGCACAGAACTAATCATTATGTATGGATTAAGAATGATGGCTGATTCGCTCGGACAGCACGACATCTGCATCTCACATTCGTGAGAGTTTTTCCAGTAAGGCTGCAAGACACGTGGCTTGAGGATGTTTTGGGGACATATTACGGTGAAAGTTGGGCAAAGGGGTTATGTGTTTTGCTCTCCTGCAAACAAGTGCTGTCTTGGCTTAGACAAACTATACCATGCAACGGTGGCAAAGAGGTTCGTTGATAGGTAATATGGAACAACGAAGTGGAATCGGCACGGGGTAAACCAGTTTGTCATTGTGCATACGATGCCGCGGCTCAAAGCTTATTGGTCATTTTTTCATTTCAATGGCTGCTTAGTTTGTCAGGAATTCATGCGCAATTACTGTCCAAAACAGACTAATCCTTTAACTTACATGGATGGTGCCGTGTCATTACTTAATATGGAAAACAATTTGATAGTTGCTACTGTTGGCGCTTCACTGAGGAAGACAAAGTGGCACAGATCCGCTATCACGTGACTAGTAAATTGGGCACATTGATTAGCAAAGGAACTCGCTAATTGTTTGTACATTTGCAATTTGTCCAGACTGCGGCTCAGAGGCGGTCGGAGGCAGACGGGATTTGGCTTTGGTGGCGGATGACCAGGACTACGCCCTTCTTTTTTCAGAAACGGAATCAACCTGCCCGCGGAGCCCTCATTATACGATAGCTAACAGATAATTTCCAGTCAAAGGTTACTAGTTCCTTAGGCAAGTTCCGTTGGACCGGTTTTGTGACTAACACAACGTAGTAGACACCTTTGAACATTGCTTTCGGTCACGCCCACGGCTTTGAGATTTGCATACCCTAGTGTGATTCTAGTCCGTATCTTAATCCTCCATGTGCGTGTTGTAGAAATATATGTCATGAATTGTACAAACTTATAATTATCTAATATCATAAACTCGGTAACAACATCCAGTCTTCCGTAAGTTAGGAGTAAATAGTTGGAAAGGTTTTTGTGAAGAGAACTGCTTAGCTCAAGCTGTTTATTGGGAAACTAAAAGTTGTTGTAAAAGTTGTCACAAAATTCAAGCACGCCTTCCTGTACACTTAGACAAACGCCAGCTGATGTGGATGCTCTCCAAGTCGTTACACCGCCTGGACGCGGCGTTAATGCGGGCAATCTTCGAGTGGTCACGATAAGTGACATACATAAACACTTCTAAGCATTTGCAGCCCTCTCTCCGCCTGCGTCGCACCCTCAGAGCGCACACAGGGCATGTCTCAGACGTGTCACGTAAACACCCGCACGCCGTGCAGAGCCGGGGGGCACGGCGCCCCGGCGGGCAGACAGGATGGCAGCGCGCGGCGCGCACGCTTTCCCAGAACTTCTGGCAAGCGCCGTCACATGCATGTAATGCTGAAGTGATATTGAAACATGTTGCTGACCTTTGTAATACATGCAATGGCGATGACTAAGCGAAATGAATAACGTAATATTTGTTTTTGACACGCTGTTGTTCATTTCCGACATGAACGTGAGTATTGTGATGTGAGCTCAAACATGTGAGCATCGGCATGAGCCAAATATTGCAAAAGTGGTCATGACAATGTGCCGTTATATCAAGAATCTATGTTCCTTATTTTCGCGAGATCACGTGCGCTTGCAGGTGGATTCCCACAACCTCCGTCCACTTAAACAGTTCCTTGTAGCAGCCTCAAAAAACAAATAACCGATTTTCTCACGAAATGGTGATCTGCTGACGACTTACGACGCATCAATTTGCTTTCAATTGGTGATAGTGGGCCCGCAGGCCGGCGCCTCCTGCGTGCCACGAGAAACGGGACTGACACTGGCGAACAGCCGTAGCTCTCACGGACACTGGGCACGCCAGCGCCTAAGATCGCTGACACTGGTTTTGATTAGCCGCATGTGCCAGGTAACCAAGTCACCATTTTTTGGAACGAGTATGACTCATGACGTGCGCATCGGGGCGCCGACCCAGCGTTCCTGGAATAATGAACGCCACCGCATGGCGCCTCCGCTTACAGGGGGCTTCCCCACGTCAGCATTGCTAATACTTTGCAACCGTCGGCATGCAAAGCTCACAGGGCCTCCTCCCCCCTGCCATGCGGCATAGCTGTGTCGTATCGTCACCGTCAGTAGCTTAGGGTTGTCAGATCATGAGACTGGATTAGGGGAAGACGGGTGATCACAGAGAATGAAATCAATCTGCGTTTTAAAGGGATGAGAAATGAAAGTGAGTACCAAATCTTAAAATTGACCTGCCAAAGATGCCTCCAATTCCATCATGCTGCAGTCAAACGGCCGTCATTCATTTTCAAACTATCTTAAGCTTCCAATAAAAGGCTTGCCAGCAAATCCACGTCATTTCAATGAAATTCTGCTGCTGAATAACTACAGTCTGTTTTGTTGCACGATGGGACAGGGCATAACGATCTTTTATGTAACACAAGTTAAAATGAAAACATCGCATGCTCACCGCATGGTTATTCTAGTGTACATATTGAACAAGCAAGCTAAAGACCGTTTCTTTTCTTTTTTCTTTCGTTTGTTTATGACAAAAGAGCTTGATGCCTGTAACTTTCCCTAGATTTCGATGCAGTTTGATATAAGGTCTAGGAGTGACATCCCGCAATTTACAAAATGTCTGAATTAAGCGTTTGTAGCTTCAAATAATAAACTAGCCACGATGGTCGGCTTCAGTTACGATGTAATGCATATGCAATGGATTTACGTGCACTCCTCGCCTGAAAAAAGCTATGAGCAAACCAATAAATACAAAATAATGTCGGACCCAGAGTATGCCGAAAAGCGGGCTGGAAAAATCCCTCACTCGAAAAGGCATATCACCAATGAAGACACAGGCAGCAGCGCAAGCACGCAACTCAACAACGGGAGCTGGCCCTCGGCCTGTCATTGGTCAGCACCAGCATGGTGTGTTGGAGCGTGCTGGACCGGCCAGGTGAAGAGCCTTTAC